TATTTTTATTTTTTTATTTATTTATATATTTATATATATATATTTATATATATATTATTTATAATATATTTATATATAATATATTTATTTCGCTATTACAAGAAAAACCAAAAAAACAAATATAAAACTTTAATTTTTAAGAAAAGTTGCACCAAAACACAAGGAATACATATATTTAATAATGATGTTGTAACCCAGATAGGAAACTTGCTTTTTAAACGTCTGTTAGGAACGATGTGCTGAACTTTGTGTTCTAAAAAGATAAATGGCTACAAGACATAAACTAAGACTATCTGCGTATAACCCTTAGATAGAAACAGTAGTTTATTTTTAGAATTCTTATATTAAAGATATATTAAAACAATTGATAGGAATCTTTCAAAACCTTTCCTTCTCCATTGTAGTATGTAGGTAATACATAAATACTTTTTTTTGTACATACATCATAATTTTAATAACTTTATATTTTTCTCGGACAAGTTTTCCAACTTTAAGACTATAATATAAAATCATGTTACTTTATAAGCATTTAAATTAAGTTTTAATTTTATAATCCCATAATACTAATCACAATTAAATATTTAATAATATATAACATATATCTGAGCAATAATATACTTATGTAGTGTTTTTGTTACATAAAAAGAAAAGAGTGAATTAATTGGTATATTTCAAAAGCTACTCGTTGCAACTTCAAGTAACTATGAGTATACACAAGTACGTTCCACCAGTAAATTTACAAGGAGAACATCTGAGAATCGTAACATCATTGTCAATGTGGCAAGGAAACGATATGAAACTTTAATCGAATATTTTCTTTCAGTAAAAATTATGTTGAATTTGTAAGTTGTAATATTGATGATGCAAATAAATTTCAAATGAAATAAAACAAAATAAAACATTTAATTTTTGGAAACACTCTCCAATTTTTCACTGACAAATAAAATTTTTTGTTCACAGACGAAATTTAAAAACAATATATATTTCGATTCGAACATGAAAAACTTGCCAAAATCTATCCAGTGTAGACGCCAAGTTAATTTCTCTACTAAATTTAAGGCAAATCAATTACAAAGTAGACTTATTTACTCCACACACGTAAGTAGTTAGTGTTCAACTTATTTTAAGTATAAACATAAAAATAAATAATAGTCAAAATGTCACACAAAACCGCTAAAAGCGCAAAAAATAAACAGTAACAGCTTAATGTCACCATCAGTGGTCTTAGGAAATATTCGAATTTCTTAATTAGTTAATAGTCCGCACATAATTTTTGATTTTTTTTTTGTTTATTGCTACAACTATTTACATTATAACCAACAAGTAGCTTGTATCTGATCATAAAAAAAACAGGTGAAAAATAAAATATCACCAAAAATGTCCGTGGAAAACTTTTGCATATTTTTTATCTTAATAACTTTAGATTTGACATTTGTATGTGAGTCAAAATATTATCACCTTTAATCACTGCCTATTTTTCCTTTTAAAGCTATGTGTTAACAATCCTACTTCAATTCATTTTTAATTGAATTGTCAATAATACTATGTTCAGACACACATTAATTTCGCAAAAATCTTGATTTCATCTTCATTTCAACGAAATTAAGTTGTTTTTTCCATACAAAATTCAGTTTTGAGTTTAGATTGAAATTAAGGAAAATGACCTTAATTTCATTGATGCGAAAGCTGATATTAAGGGATATTTCAAATGCAAGTATGCATAAGATAAATTGTAAGCGAAAGATAAAGTTGAGATAAGAAAAAAATGACAATTTTTTTATATAAATGTCAATGACAGTTGACTTTAATAAATATAAATATTTGGAAATATTTTGAAAATAGTGCAAATTTATAAATTTAATTGTAGAGAAAAAACTGTAACTGTTATTAATTTAAAATATAGTGAAAAATTATATTCACATACCTGCAATCCTCTAAAGCTAATAAAAGTATTGAATGCCAGCCTTTGTATGGTAGTTATAATAATCAGCTTTTAAAATATCCCAGATAGAAATGGTGTTTGGAGCATGTAATTTTTAACATTCGATTTGTAAACAAAAACATATGATTCCCTTAATTTGGGGCAGCATGAACACTTTCTAAATTAACTTAATTTAATTTTAACCAAATTAGGAAAATTTAGCTGTCTAAACACAGTATAATTCTTAATTTATGAATAATTGCCACTAAGATACAATATTTAAATTATATCCGACATATAATGATATATAACCAAACGCTTATAATAAATTCCGTCCACATTCCACCAAAATGTAGCGCATCACAAAATTACTTATGTATGTACCTATAATAGTCAACAAAAGTATAAGTTCGTTTGCTGTGCATGACGTAGCGTCCATGGATATTGACATATTTCTGCCCATTGTTGAAAGTGGTTGATATTCTCTCAGCACATTATTCTCAAATAAATTTCAACTTAAGCCAAGACCGGATTTAGTACATGGTGAATTCAAAAAAACTAATCACACCATGAACAGTCTGTAGTTTACATTGTTTTTGTGATGGCATGTAAAATTATTTCGAGTAAAAAAAACTGTTCTCACTTAAATTTGTTTTATTGCTTGATTTGTTTTGCTTCACATTCGTAAGCATTCAGAAGAACCGTGTGTATGTGTGTGAGTAAAAATCTTCATATTTCGCTATAGTTTACATATATAAAATTTGTACAGTTTTAATACAATAATATACCAGGTATAGGAAAGAAATATTTTTTAATGGTTTTGAATGTGGGTGTGGGGGACAGTAAATTGACGTAAATATTTATGTTGGGGAGCAAACGCAAGCTATTGGTTTTTGTGTATGAATGAATACAATAACAATTATATATGCGTTTTGATTGCTTTTGATCAATGCGTGCATGTTTTAAAATTCTCTTCGTTACTCAATGTACTCACACCGTTTGAAAATGTATTTCTTGATGGGGTCACTCAAGTGATTTTGGCCACACTCCACTGGCTTTGAGAATTTGTTTTTAGTTGTTTTTTGAATTTAGTGGTGTGTTGTGTTGCTTTACGCTAAATAAAGTATTAAAGAATTTCAATTTCTTAATGAAATAATTCTGTTTATTGTTGTTGTATTATTACCGTTTTGGTGCTATTTGGCAATTTATAGTTTTATTTTAAATAGAATTATTTGACATTTACAAAAATTGCAAATATCAATAGAATTTGTAGAATATAAGAAAATTTTGATATCGGTTTTGAAATATTGAACGTGTTCTGAAATTAGCGCTGACAGCATTTATATTATGTATATCATTTGATATTGAATATATATACATTTATGTATATTATGGTATTGAGTTGAAACGAAAAAAGAATCCGGAAAAATTGTGACAAAATTAAATACGGAAATAAGTCAACGATTAAAAATTCTAAAGATGCCTAGGGTATGTGATCAAAATAGTTATTAAATTATTAAATATTAATTATGGACATTTCAAACAATACATTTAATAAAGTATTTTAAAATATTTGCTTTTATGAACAGACATCTAAATTGTTAATACTTTCGATATAACTTAAGCTTATAAATCAGACTAAGAAGAACAAATGAAATAAAATGCAATAGTGTTGTTTAATAATGTGTTGTTTAGTGTAAAAGGCTCTAAAATGTCTTTATAAAATCGATGTCTTATGTCTTCCACTTCACCAGTATAGTTGTACCTTCTGCCATTCTTCGAATATATGTGTATCGCATTTATATCTGCGAACATGGAGCGCAAGCATGTAACCTGTACTTTCGATATAACTACTTCAACTTATTGACTTGAATGAAATAAAATTTATATTATTAATAATAAAAAATACGTATTTTAATGTAAGATGGTGCGAATAGTCTTTATCAAATCGCTTTCGTTATGTCTTTCACTATACCACTATCTACTTTTAAAGTTATCACTCTCCGCACGGGGAGGTACGCAAATCTTAGATCAATCACTGAATAATCATGAAGCTTATAGGCAATACATAAATTAGTCAATAAGATGGGTGGGACCCTATAGTACCCTCAGCTATCAAAGAGTAAAACTGCCCAGTTGCGCTGACTCGAAAAAAGGATCAACATATACACCAGTATAGTTGTACTTTCTGTCATTCGTCGAATATATGTATATCGCATTTATATCTGCCAATATGGAGCACCGCCATGTAATATAATCCTCACTTCTAAAATGTGCCGGGTATCAAGAAGAGTTGTTAAATATATTTCACTTTGTTTTTTAAGTACCGTATGATTATTCATCCAAACGGTCTTCTAACTATATGATTCTAATATCACGCATGTTTAATTGATTTGAAAATATAACAATAATTATTTACAGACATCTATTTACAAAAGCTCGGAGATTGTTTTTTATTCTTTTGGTTGTGAAACCAAGTTTCACACCTGCAAAAATAGTACTAAAAATTTGCAACCTTAAAAGATTCAACTTCTCACCTACGTGACATAAAACTTGAACGCCAAAATTGTATTTATTTCGTAAATAAATAATGTTTGATATAGTATAATCCAAAGAACTTCCTAGCAATATTTTTTGGATGTAGGAAATTGATTAGTATGTACTTTCATAGATTGTAGCGCATAGCTTAAACGAGAAATTTAAAACAAATTATTGCGTACATATTTTCTTCGTCTTCATCAAATTTGTCAATGGATCTAATTTCTTTTTTTTTTTGAATCAGCATTAATATCACATAATTGTTTTACAGATTAGTTATTTATTTTTCGACCAAATCTAGACATTCAAGACAAATAGTTAGTTGTAACGAGTTCCAGATTATATTACGACATTTAACACTAATTGCAGATTTTGCTACATGATCAATGAATGTTAGAAATATAAGAGATGATTTCAAGATGTTGCATTATACGCCTCAAACATTTTACCCTCATACCCTTTAACCCTTTCTATTTTGTTCTTACCATTGAGACTTACTATTTTGTGTTATTCCAATATTTTTATGTGTGTATTTATGTGTGTATTACTACTATACACATACACTTAACATATAAAACACAAAATATATTATGAGAAATATTTTTGGCTAAGCAAATGAATTCCTTCAAGTGTCAAAGTCTTCAAAAAACCTCTTCGAAACAACACGTCTATTTCAATTGAAAGTATTTCTAACTCATATATATATATATATATTAGCATTTGTATTTAAGTATTATAAAGAATTTTACTGCATATTATCACGATATTTATTTCGCACATAAAAAAATTAATTTTCTCGTTTCACGACCAAAACATGACGTTTCAAAAAAAAAAAAACAAATAAGTCTTTAGACTTATTTCGCCTTTTTTTGGTTTTTCGAAAATATTAAAATGATTTCAGTTGGTTTTTATTTACTAAACTGCTTTTTTGTATACATTGATAACACTACTTACTATATATTACTTATAGTACGATAGGCATATCGTGTTGTATTAGTAAGCAGTGAGAAACTTCTAAACCACCCGTACAAGCTTTTTTGAATTAAGATATATAGCAAGTACTCATAAAAGAAATTTTAATTTGAAATTTCACTTCGGTAGATAAGACAAGACCAAACTTTTTGATGTGTAATGCAAATAAATAATTATTTTCAATAAAAAATTATTTTATTGCAGCATTTATTGTGGTATTGTTTATTTCCCACACATATTCTAAATTAAATATTACTTTTATATATCGGATATCACATATCCAAGCAACAAAACAAACTGTGAAGAGCCGAAAATTATAGATAACAGAGATTTTAGATATTATGTACTTCCATCAAATTAACCCTAATATAAAACCTGGTTTTAGGACAAACAAACAATCTTCTTCAATAAAAGAAAAAAAGAAAATTACTCTTACGAATATTAATAAATCTCATCTCTAAAAGTGAAGAAAATTTAAGGAAGACTTTATATTTATTTAAGCAAATTTTTAAAAAGAATGTATGGAATCCCGGTTTATTTTAATAAATTTTAGAATAAATTTAAAATATCTTTACAGTCGAATCCCAAGGAAAGTGCAAAACAATTCGAATAATTAAAGTTTTGATCTATCAAGTTTTTTTTTAATCTATTTATAATATCTTAATAGTGTTTATATAGTATATATAGTTTATTTTCTTTCATGTTAAAATTTCTAGATTTCCTAAATGATTCAGAACATTCAACAATAGCTAGAAGAAAATTATCTTTTAAAGGAGAATACAACCGATATTCTCAAAAATGCGCGATAGATTACTCTTTTTTAATCAATTCGACTACTACTAATATTTTTAAAAGATTGGTATGAATAAATATAATTAATTTTTACTAACAACATATAGTATATTTTCGCTCTGCTTAGACTTTGTAAGGTTTGAAGCAAATAGCAATTTAAAATCGAGTTGAACCCCTTCACAAAAAGGAATGGTATCTATGCAGTTATTTACTTAGATAATTATGCTACTACCGCTACCGCTGTTCAAGTTACTAATGGTTTACCAGTACCAATTTTTCTGCGGCGTTCAGAACAGCATTTCTTTTATTTATTTATTAATTAATAATCTTTATCTAACTAATGACATCCTATTTTTTTTATCTCTACACATATTTTATTACCTTATTTACTGAGTACCTATATTTTTATTTTAAATCTTTATTTAAGTGTTCTTCAAACCATCATTATTATTCTTTATCATTATCATAGTTTTTCAAAAACTTAATTTCATTCAGGGACTTTTCTAAGCTGTCTCTGTACTTTATAGAGTTTAGACTATTCTTGTCATTTTGACAGATTAGGGTTATCCAATACTTATTAACGTAGTATAACGTCAATAGTATTGCGGTTTATCATGATATATAAGAATAAATCTTAGATACTAAGGTAAAGAACAAATTGTAAGTACAAGAGAATAAATCAAATTAAAGTCACTACTATTATATACAATATAACCGCTACATGAAGCACTGCAACACAAATACATAAAAAGTAGATATTAAGGTAAGTTCACCAAAATTATGGAAAGTTAGCATAGCAATGCTATTAATTATAGGTAATATTTATGTTAGTTGCCTATATTGCTAAAAATAACAAAAGAATGGAAAAGATTTTAATAATTATGAAGAATTATTTCGTGTCATTTACTTTCTACCTATTATTTATATACGTAAACCTGTTTTTGGCTTTCAAATATTTCTATTTAAGAATTCTTTTATCTGTCAGTAGGAAGAGCAAAATAGTAATAAAACTCGTTTTTAAAGAAACACATTTGTCATAATAAATGTTTAACCTCTCCAAAATGAAGTTGATTTATATTACTTACTTTTCACACTTAGTACTACAAAATATTCTAAAGTATGTTTAGAGTTGCTTACTTGAAGAAAAGTTACGTATATGTATATATGTAATTATTAAACATATATATGTGTTATTTATTACTTATAAAAGTACAGTTAAACTTTAAAGTATAAAAAAAAACTTTACTAGTACCCAGTTTCCAATATTAGTACAAAACACATACGCCAATTCATGTACACGACCTAGTAGTAATTCTTACCAAAAATTTGTACATCCAGGTATAACCCTCAAATTTCTTCGTACATCAGGAAGTAACCAAATTCAGTTTCCATGAAACGCCCTATTACCATTGTCCTATTAATTTTATAATTACGGCTATATTCTCGGAGCTATGGTATTGAATTATGTATTCTAAAATTCATTTTGTTCTTTCTATAGAGCCTTTTTTGCTATTGTTGTCTTCGTCTAAACCCATTCTATAGGTACACATCTTTAAGACATAGTGCCCCATTAGTGCACACTATTATCATGCAAATTTACAGAATTATCTATGGAAATAATTGCTGTTGGCTTCAGTTAGCTAACAGGTGTAAACAGTTTGGCATCTGTTGTTTTATATATTTAATGAATATATTACTATGAATCTATTTGTGTACTTGTAATTGTAAATTTGTTGTATACAAAATTACTTTCCATGACTTCAGAATGCATATAATAGGACCTTACTTGCATTTAAATAAACTTCTAGGAAAAATACTGCGAGCCGTTCTGGTCAAGTGATTATTGGTACACAGCTGCATGGCAAGTTTGTCCAAAAACATCACTTAAGAAAAAAGAAATAACGAAGCAGTTAAAAAGAGATGGCCTTTATGGACTGTCAACATGTTTGCTATTAGAATCTACCGACGAAATTTTGGGTACAATTGTTATTTTCCAGTCCCAGTTAAAATCTCGATATAATATAATAAACAAAATAACCAAGTATATTAAAATCTGTTGTAACAACGTTGTTCCCGAGAAATTTAAATTGCATTAAAAATAAAACCTATTGATATGTAATATCTACATGATACTATACATATTAAATTCATTTTTCAATCATTTCGAATTTTGAATAGCTATTAGC